CGGTAAAACTTTTTAATTTTTTGCACACAGTAATTTTATCTATAATTCCTTCAAATGATAGCATTTAAAAAAAATCGGACGAGAATTATTTTTTTAATCCTCAAAAAGCCCTGTTTTTGGAATAAAAAAAATTGGGCTCGTACAATTTTCTTAGAACTTGCAAATTTTACGCACTTCAAGATTACAGGAAAGTGTGTGAAGTTTTAAAAAATTTTACCGAAGGAAACACGAGAAAAATACATTTATTTTTATCTATGTGACGTCACAAAAATCAGGATTTCAATTTCCTCGCGCGACCAGCCGACAATCCCACGAAGGCCCGCGCGTGTATATCACGACGCAACTTTAAAAAAACCGCCACGCGTGCAAGTGTGCAACGTCGACCACGTCATAGAGTAAAGATATACCACGTATGTTACGTGTAGCACTACTAATCTCGCGCGTGGACAAAATTTCCGCGAAACGGACCTAAAACTGTAGGGAGCCACCTTAAATGCGCTTGAAGTTACTTCCTATAAAATTATAGCAATTTGACCACCACTTTATTAGATGTTTATAATGATATGGAGTATATATTAATTACATTAAAAGAAAGATTCGATCCACTTGTGTTATACAAAATATTCATCGTTGCTGTATTTTGTGTGCATTCAAATAGACTTGAAGATACTACCCAATTACAACAATTTTACCAGCATTTTATTAGATGTTTATGTTACGGGGCATTACAAGAAAGATTCGATCCATTACATTTTCTATGGAAGTTCATGTTGTCTAACAATATTCCAAAATGAATATACCCTTTGCAGTTGGCCTAAAGTGCCCTTTTTGGTCATTTTTATAAATAAAGCTGGAACCTACAGTGCCTTTTAGACTTGTTGAATTGGCTAATTAAGCAGAGTCTATTGCAAACGAACACAATTCTACTCCACGTACAGTCCCACGCAAGTTGTTACAGATAAAAAAAACCCAGAAGATTCCTTCATATGGACTGGTCAGTTTAAACCGCTCCGTGTGCAAAAACTTCTTCACGGTCTAAGCCTGTAACGCCTTCACCAAGTACGCAATTGTCAATCCCTCAAATGTCGCAGAACCGATGCAGCCGAAGACGCAGAGACAACATTTGAAATCCCACCTGCTGCGATCACCACACACATTCTCGCCTTCACCCAACCGAAAGAGCTTTGTCACGAAACATATAAACAGTTTCAAGTGAGCTAGAAGACTGCATATTGAAAATAGAAGTGAATGCCAGCTTAACTGTCGTGTAAAGGTATAGGCGGTAGAGACCCAAAATAATAATCCTGACTGGATATCATCTTTTAAAGTCAACTCTGCCACCGATAAAACCAGCTCTGCCAGGGGATATTTGGGATCAACCACCGTCTTTCGTCCATTTTCAATAAATAGCGAAGCATTTTCTCGAAGTTCGTCATCAGAAATCTGTATACTTGCGCTTCCTTCAATGGGACCTACGGGCCCGTAGTCCTCGAAGGCTGCGACATACAGGTAGAGAAAATGATACTTTATGTAATAAGCATAAACTCTCAACAAAGCTGCCGTACATATTGTGCAACAAACACAACTGAATCCAAATAAAACTTTGACAGCAATGCTGTTGGCAGGAACCCCAGAGATTGTCTCATCCGTTAGTTCAATGTGGAAACTATACCAATCCATAACAAAGTCCAAGCCATGATAAAGGATCAATACTGTATAGTATAGAAGCTTCAATACAGCACATAACACATTGAGATTCATAATATCTCTGTTTACACTCGAATCTCACATATGATTAAACCTGAATACTGTAGCTTTCACCAAAGGACAATCAAACCCTTTATAAGCACAATTGATTTATAAGTACAAATCTATCAATATCAGTAAAGATTCCAAATTTAGGCCAATATTATACCACAAGATTTATAGACTGACAATAGCCAAGTATGGCGTAAATTTATTCTGTTTGAATGGGCATGTTAATTAATACCGGAAGTTGGGCGCGCTGCCGTTTTACGTCCTACGACTCCGGTCCAACGATGCGATGAAAGAAGTCCAAAACGAAAAATAAACAAAGGTATAAAATGTTGTTCCATTGGTGCATAGTAATGGTGTCGCTTCTAAAGTCTCTGAAATTTTCTGTCTAAAGTAATTTGACATAAAATGTCTTAATATTAATGCTCTAACAATCTTGCTCGCGTTTGACCCGCGGCAGCTCGCATCAAAAGACTCTCATGCACTCTTCATCAACTTTGTGCTGGTTCAAATTTTGATGATAGTTTTTTCTCGTTTCACTGCAGGTATAAATATCCAGTCAACTTTCATTAACTCTGACGCAACTCTTGTTCTCGTTTAACCAAACGCACGAGAGTTGAGGAACCTCCCATGCTCTCGCTTCTCAACTAAAATGAACAACTAAAAGCCCACTGAAAGCCATTGGGTTTAACAATGCTGATGACTTGCAATTAATGCAATCTTTCTTATTACGCGTCAGTTTCATTTTCACTTTTAATATTGCGCAAACCAAATTCCTGGAAATCGGTCGAACTTTGAACTCTGTAACCACAATTGATGATGTCGCGATAGTCTTTGTTCTGGCCACTGTTCGACTGCCAAGCTTTGAATAATCAAAGTCGCAAAAATGTGGCATTGTTACCTGAAGATTGTATACTATATTGGTTTAATTATATATCATTTCGTCGATACTTTTTCCGACTGGAACGAGTTCAAGGTTGAAATAGTTGATCATGGCAAATTCGCTGGTGTCCCAACCAACAGCAGCACTGTCGAAGACATAGTTATCATTAGTTGCGTTTTGGGGTTTATTTGTAGTGCGTTTATTGGGGCAGTGTACATCTACTATATCTATTTTCATTTGAAATGTATTCATAAATCGTCCTACCGGCTACTAAAAAACGCTCAGTACCAAGAAGACATCGATGGAGACGCATTGCTTACATACAGTGATGATAATGAAAGTCAACCTGCGATTTGCAACCGCCATATTGTCTGCGCCGAAATGATCATTTCAATTACCGAGCTGTATTTTAAGGAGGGTTTACAATGTGCGCTATTGTTATATGTCGCTTTAAAAAACGACCAAGCCTCAATACAACCTGACTGGCCTGATAACCTATTTGCAGTTTGCAGTGCTATGGGCAATTCAAAGCTGCTGATTTGCTTTCTGACCAAATTTTATGGTAAAGGAAGTGGCGAGACAGTTCCACATCACGAGAGTGCGAAAAGGTGTTGGTGTATATGGTGTTGCCTTTTTTCTCTCTTCTTCGAAGGTTTAACTGCATATTATCTACGACAAGCTTGGTCCAACTGATTTACTATTTTTTGTGGGAAAATATGTACAATATTCAAGATTGTTCAGTGTGACAAAATGACGCTGTTAATACCCTATAGTCGAGACTATGTGTTGCAGCGTACAATCAGTTTCAAATGTCTTGGAGCAGATGCCACAAAAACCTTAAATTTCAATAAACGTCAATCCCCCCGCTCCCTGTTCACTGTTGTGTGCCATTTCTCGTCAGATTTGATGTGTTTGGAATTTTAATTGAGAAAGCCACATTGATTGGGGTGGGGTGGGGTGGGGGGGAGCGGTATTGTGTGTAACAAACTGTAATGATAAGACTACAGTGTGTCCGAACAACTTTTGAAAGTGATTGTAGACGTCTAGGTTAAATCTTACTATTATAAACAATTTAAAAACATGAATTTTAAAACTTCCTTGTTGTCCTGAAGGTGATTTATTCAATAACCGTTTTGCGCTTTTGACGCATGATGACAACACATACTCAGACATAATGCACAACATAATCTTGGGAATATTTAGAATAAGAATGATATTAGATGTAAACATTTGAATAAATATTGTTTGTACTGCTTTGTTCTGCTTTGTACTTCCTTCTGCAGCGTGAAATAATTTGATAAATGTACCGTTTTTCACTAGTTATCACATGCATAACGTACAACATAAAAACAACACTGTAACTTCTTATAACACACAACATAAAAACAAGACTGAAAACAATAAATTATTTGCAGTTTGTAGTGCTGCGAGCAATTCGAAACTTTGTTTTTTAGGAAGCGGCGACAAAGCTCCATATCACGGCGAAATGATGATCGATTTGAATTGGAGGTCTTGGGGGGTATGAGGAACGGTGCGGGTAAAAGGAGCGGGTAATTAAAAAAGAACGGGTAATGGGGGGAGAACGAGTATTTTTACGGGAACTATTCTCCCTCTGGTATTCCCCGTTTGATATAATAAACATTATAAAAATTTAAAAACCTGAATATGACGTTATATATAGCAGAACATTTGACCGTCTCTGTGTATCTATACACCACTATCATTTTTTTAACAACTTACACTTAAAATAACTAGATAAGTAAAATATATGAAAATATGCTTGAAGATACTACCCATGCAATTATAACAATTTTACCAGCATTCTATAAAATTATCTTCAGATAAGTTTAAGAGCCTACAGTGTCCTTTAGACTTGTTGAATTGGCTAATTAAGCGGATGCAAACAAACACAATTCTACTCCACGTGCAGTCCCACCCAAGTTGTCAGTAACCAAAAACTCAGAGGATTCCTTCATATGGACTGGTCAGTTTAATTAAACCACTCCGTGTGCAGTCCCATGTATACCCAAGTTGTGAGAGACCGAAAACCCAGAGGATTCCTTCATGGACCGGTCAGTCTAAGCCACTGATCTTGTCTAAGCTTGTAACGCCTTCACCAAGTACGCAATTGTCAATCCCTCGAATGCCGCAGAACCGATGCAGCCGAAGACGCAGAGGCAACATTTGAAATCCCACCTACTGCGATCATCACACACATTCTCGCCTTCACCCAACCGAAAGAGCTTTGTCACGAAACATATAAACAGTTTCAAGTGAGCTAGAATACTGCATATTGAGAATAGAAGTGAATGCCAGCTTAATTGTCGTGTAAAGGTATAGGCGGTAGAGACCCAAAATAATAAACCTGACTGGATATCATCCTTTAAAGTCAACTCTGCCACCGATATAACCAGCTCTGCCAGGGGATATTTGGGATCAACCACCGTCTTTCGTCCATTTTCAATAAATAGCGAAGCATTTTCTCGAAGTTCGTCATCAGAAATCTGTATACTTGCGCTTCCTTCAACGGGACCTACGGGCCCGTAGTCCTCGAAGGCTGCGACATACAGGTAGAGAAAATGATACTTTATGTAATAAGCATAAACTCTCAACAAAGCTGCCGTACATATTGTGCAACAAACACAACTGAATCCAAATAAAACTTTGACAGCAATGCTGTTGGCAGGAACTCCAGAGATTGTCTCATCCGTTAGTTCAATGTGGAAACTATACCAATCCATAACAAAGTCCAAGCCATGATAAAGGATCAATACTACATAGTATAGAAGCTTCAATGCAGCACATAACACATTGAGATTCATAATATTTCTGTTAATTAACACTCGAATCTCGCATACGATGAAAGCCGAATAGCTTTATTAAATGAAGGATAGTCGACCAAGCCCTTTATTTAAGAACAACTGAAATCTATTAATCTATAAAGCTCCCAAGTCGAGGCCAATATGATCATGAGACTAACTGTGGTCAAGCATGGCGTAGCTTGTAAACGTCTGATTTGCATAGACAGGTAAATACCGGAAGCGTGTCGCGTTACCAGACCCTGGGACGCAATGAAGAAGCCCAAACTAAATAAAAATGTGCAAAACATAAACAATGTATAAACTGTTAATCCAATGACATCGTCGCAACCTACTGCACAGGCTAATGACATTGTAGGCTGCGTTTCTGCCTTAACATAACGTAATTTGATACTTTCATTGTTTGGCTCTATGCCTCTATTTCTGTTTCTCAATATTATAATTATCTGACAATGAAAAATGGCCTCAATACCAAAACGATACTATTAATGTTGGTCGTGCATAGTCAGAATGAATATATTATTCTATATTTGGATGTTTATAGAAAAAAGTATCACTGCTTGACTGCAACACACTAGAAATATCTGTAATGTGTTATGTGCAATGTCTGTGACTGTGTAATAAGAAATATCTGAGCTTAGGTTAAGTTTAGCGCGCCTTTCTTGTTCTGAGTGCCAGACTAGTGAAGAAAAGAATAAGTACAAAGATTTATTAAATAGTTCTTATTCCAAATATTCCCAAGGACATGCACGAGTATATTATTTCTGCTTTATTAAAATCCTTTTGATAGAAATACTACTTTTATCATTAAAGTACAGTAGTTACTATTCTTCCCCTGGCATATGTAGCCACACAGAAATAGAGAGTTTGAGCAAGAGAACGAAGTCGGACGACGTCGACGTGGTTGACAATTTTTGCCTGTCTTGCACATTACCTTGTACATTCTGAGTTTAGGGTCAGGAGTGAAGACAGATTAGAGATTCATGTCTAGCTGTTTGTGAATGCTGACTCAAATCCTTACCCTGATCAGGATAAAACAGCGAGACATGAATCCATATCCCGTCTTCGTCTTCTGCCTTCGTTCACAACGAATATTTTG